CAGATTAGGGCTTGGCAGGCTATGGGGGGGGCCCAAAATTGCCAGCACCCTTGAAAAAAAATGGAACCCCCAGCAGTGTGGGAGCTGAAAGTGGCACAGGGAGAGTTGGCGTGGAGAAAGCAGAATGGGGGCCGTAAGGGGGGCCCCATGAGGGGATGTGGACTTGGCAGCGCATGGGAGGGGTAGGGGGCCCATGGAGATTACGGGCCTGGAAGGCAATGGGAGGCCCGTAATCTCCCAGACCCATGACAAAAAATGAAACCAAACCAGCAGTGTAGGGGGAAAATGAAAGTGGCACATGGCAGAGTGTGGCGATGGGAAGCAGCAATGGGAGGCCGTACGGGCCCCATGAGAGATGTGGACTGGCAGCAGCTTTGGGAGGTGGTAGGGGGCCCCATGGAGATTGGGTGGCAGCAGCATGGGGGGCCCCGTAACTGCCAGCCCCCTATGAAAAAAAAAGAAAAACCACAGTGTGAGGGATAAAAGGGGCATGGCAGGTGTGGAAGGGAGCAGCGCAATGGGAGGCGGTTCGGGGGACCCTGGGGGACCTGTGGACCTGGCAGCGCATGGGAGGGGGGGGTACGGGGCCATGGAGTTTAAAGGCCTGGAGCAGCAATGGGGGCCCCGTAATCTCCCAGCCCCCCTAGAAAAAATGGAACCGGGGTGGGGGGAGAACCGCGATCTTTATCCAGGGTTTTTCCCCAGGCACGAATGGCGACGTTGCATATCTGACGCAACGCTGTAGTCCCAAATGGGCCCTGGCAGCCAGCCGTGTGAGGAGACCTGAAAGTGGCACATGGCAGAGTGTGGACCTGGATGCGCAGCAGCAATGGGAGGCGCCGTACAGGGACCATGACAGACTCTGGACCCATGCAGCAGCATGAGGAGGCGGTATAGGGGCCTGGCAGCAGCTATGGGAGGCCCGTAATCTGCCAGCACGACAGCAGCAATGGGACGCCGTACAGGGGACCCATGAGAGACTCTGGACTTGGCAGCAGCATGAGGAGGCGGTATATAGGGGCCCATGGCAGATTAGGGGCCTGGCAGCAGCTATGGGAGGCCCGTAATCTGCCAGCACCCTATGACAAAAAATGAACACACCAGCAGTGTGTGAGGAGACCTGAAAGTGGCACATGGCAGAGTGTGGCGATGGAGACAGCAGCAATGGGAGGCCGTACAGGGACCCATGAGAGACTCTGGACTTGGGCAGCAGCATGAGGAGGCGGGTATAGGGGCCCATGGCAGATTAGGGGCCTGGCAGCAGCTATGGGAGGCCCGTAATCTGCCAGCACCCTATGTCAAAAAATTGAAACACACCAGCAGTGTGAGGAGAGACCTGATGGCAGAGACACTGTGGACCTGGCAGCAGCAGAGGGAGGCGGTACAGGGGCCCATGGCAGATTAGGGGCCTGGCAGCAGCATATGGGAGGCCTGTAATCTGCCCAGCACCCTATGACAAAAAATGAAACACACCAGCAGCAGTGTGAGGAGACCTGAAAGTGGCACATGGCAGAGAGTGGGGCGATGGAGACAGCAGCAATGGGAGGCCGTACAGGGACCCATGAGAGACTCTGGACTTGGCAGCAGCATGAGGAGGCGGTATAATCTGGGGCCCATGGCAGATTAGGGGCCTGGCAGCAGCTATGGGAGGCCCGTAATCTGCCAGCACCCTATGTCAAAAAATGGAACACACCAGCAGTGTGTGAGGAGACCTGAAAGTGGCATGGCATGAGACACTGTGGACACTGGCAGCAGCACAGGCATGAGGAGGCGGTACAGGGGCCCATGGCAGATTAGGGGCCTGGCAGCAGCTATGGGAGGCCCGTATCTGCCAGCACCCTATGACAAAAAATTGAACACACCAGCAGTGTGTGAGGAGACCTGAAAGTGGCACATGGCAGAGTGTGGCGATGGAGACAGCAGCAATGGGAGGCCGTACAGGGACCCATGAGAGACTCTGGACCTGGCAGCAGCATGAGGAGGCGGTATAGGGGCCCATGGCAGATTAGGGGCCTGGCAGCAGCTATGGGAGGCCCGTAATCTGCCAGCACCCTATGACAAAAAATTGAACACACCAGCAGTGTGTGAGGAGAAAGTGGCACATGGCAGAGTGGCAGCAGCAATGGGAGGCCGTACAGGGACCCTGAGAGACTCTGGACCTGGCAGCAGCATGAGGAGGCGGTACAGGGGCCCATGGCAGATTAGGGGCCTGGCAGCAGCTATGGGAGGCCCGTAATCTGCCAGCACCCTATGACAAAAAATGGAACACACCAGCAGTGTGAGGAGACCTGAAAGTGGCACATGGCAGAGTGTGGCGATGGAGACAGCAGCAATGGGAGGCCGTACAGGGACCCATGAGAGACTCTGGACCTGGCAGCAGCATGAGGAGGCGGTACAGGGGCCCATGGCAGATTAGGGGCCTGGCAGCAGCTATGGGAGGCCCGTAATCTGCCAGCACCCTATGACAAAAAAAATTGAACACACCAGCAGTGTGTGAGGAGACCTGAAAGTGGCACATGGCAGAGTGTGGCGATGGAGACAGCAGCAATGGGAGGCCGTACAGGGACCCATGAGAGACTCTGGACCTGGCAGCAGCATGAGGAGGCGGGTACAGGGGCCCATGGCAGATTAGGGGCCTGGCAGCAGCAATGGGAGGCCCGTAATCTGCCAGCACCCTATGACAAAAAATGGAACACACCAGCAGTGTGTGAGGAGACCTGAAAGTGGCACATGGCAGAGTGTGGCGATGGAGACAGCAGCAATGGGAGGCCGTACAGGGACCCATGAGAGACTCTGGACTTGGCAGCAGCATGAGGAGGCGGTACAGGGGCCCATGGCAGATTAGGGGCCTGGCAGCAGCTATGGGAGGCCCGTAATCTGCCAGCACCCTATGACAAAAAATGGAACACACCAGCAGTGTGAGGAGACCTGAAAGTGGCACATGGCAGGGGCATGATTCATGGCGGATTTAGTCAGTTGTGTCAGGAACTGGTGGTTTGAAATCCAGACTAATCCACGCCTGATTCATTTTCACAAACGTGAGTCTCTCCACACTTTGGGTGGACAGTCGTGTCCTCCGCGGAGTTACAATACCTCCTGCCGCACTAAACACGCGCTCCGATGCCACGCTACTGGCCGGGCATGACAGCCTTTCAAGGGCAAATTCAGCTAGTTGGGGCCAAAGGTCAAGTTTCGTTGCCCAGTAGTCAAGGGGATTGTCTACCTCGGTTGGCAGGGTGCTGTCCAAGTAGGCCCAAGCCTGTTGTTTGAGGTCCTGCTCCAGGTCCACTGATGCTGCTGCTGCTGCTGCTGCGGCTGGTTAGTAGTTTCCTCACTGCGCTGGTGAAGAAAGCTACTCATCATCGACTGCAGACTGAGGCAGCCGCTGCTGGTGGAGCTGCCACTGCTCCTACCACCCCACCCCTCCCCTGCTGCCATGGCAGCGGAACGCGAGCGCACAGGGCCCACAGTGTCTGAGGATGGACGTTGGCGCAGAAAGGCAGAGACCAACTGACTACATAGGTGGTTTTTATAGTACGTTATTTTGGCCTCCCTCTCAGCAGGTGTGAAAAAGGCCACCATTTTTGAACGGTAGCGAGGGTCCAACAAGGTGGACAGCCAAAAGTCATCCCTCTGTCTGATGGTTATTATTCGGCTGTCGCTACGCAAGCAACCGAGCATGCTATGGGCCATTTGTGCCAAGGAATGCGAGGGACTCCCTGCCTCCATCTCCACAGCATACTGCCACGGTGCGTCTGGGTCCTCTGTCTCTCTCCTCCTCCTCCTCTACCAGATGCTCCTGCTCCTCCACTCCTGTCCGCTGAGTGGAAAAACCACCCATTTCACTCAATAATTCCTGAGCACAAATGTCCTCCTCTACCTCCTCCTCTTCTTCCTGTCCTGCCCCCACAGGGGTCATGTGGCGTTGAGATCTGTGCGCCACGTCTACCGCACCCTGACCAGCCATTGTTAACAGCATTTGTTCCAGGACGTGCAACAGAGGAATGACGTCGTTCATCCCATAGTCCTGCCGACTCACGAATAGCGTGGCCTCCTCAAAGGGCCTGAGCAAGCGGCAGGTGTCACGCATGAGCTGCCAATGGCTGACATCGAAGTTACACAGGGGAGTACCTTTATCCGCTTGTAACATCAGGAAATCGGTGATGGCCTTTCGCTGTTCGTAAAGGCGGTCTAACATGTGTAGGGTTGAATTCCACCTTGTTGCAACGTCGCAGATCAGGCGATGCTGTGGAATTCCGTTCTTGCCGCTGCAGCTCAAGGAGGGTGTGCTTTGCGGTGTAGGAATGGCTGAAATGCATGCAAAGTTTACGTGACATTTTAAGGATGTCTTGCAGTGGGATGGTGGATTTTAGGAACCGCTTGACAACCAGATTGAACACGTGAGCCATGCATGGCGCATGGCACAACCTTCCTTGACGCAGAGCAGACACCATGTTCTTTCCGTTGTCGGTCAACATGGTTCCGATTTTCAGTTTGCGCGGAGACAGCCATCTGTCGATTTCTCTGTTCATTACACTCAGAAGTTCCTCCCCTGTGTGACTACGTTCGCCAAGGCATACCAGGTGCAGCACAGCGTGACACCGTTGCGCCCTGCACATGTGATATGCCGGTCGGGTAATGGGACTTGGCACGGGGGGTGGCGGCTGAGGACACGGCGGAAGAAGAGGTGGTAGAGGCGGACATCTTTTGTGGACCAAGGACGTGCAAACGTGGAGGCAAAAGCGGCGTGACCTGTCCAAGTTGCTGGTGCGGCTGTGCGGGCACCACGTTCACCCAGTGGGCCGTAAATGACATGTACTGTCCCTGACCGTAGTTACAGCTCCACACGTCGGCGCTGCCGTGCACTTTGGCAGAGACCGACATGCTCAAAGACTGGCCCACCATCTCTCTTCTACATGTGAATGCAGGGCTGGCACTGCCTTTTTGGCGAAGAAATGACGGCTTGGCACTCTCCACCGCGGCGCGGGCACAAGCCATCATTTCTCGGAAAGGTGCTGAGTCCACCACTTGGAAAGGGAGGGACTGCAGCACACAGCAACTTGGACAGGGAGGACGTTCAGCTTTTGCACCGTCGGGTGCGTGCTCGCAAACTGTTGTCTCTTGGAAACGGATTCCAAGAAAGACTGCTGACGGAATCCGTGAAGAGGAGTAGCAGGAGAGCAGGAGCATCTGAAACGAGCGGAAGATGCAACGAGCGACAACTCCCCCAGCAGAGGTGTTGGAGCCTTGACTGGCTGATAGAGGGCGATTGACGTCGGGTGACGGAGCAAGTAACGGAGCGGGTGATGGAGCGGGGGGGCTGGGGCAGGCAGAACCGCCGTATCTTTATCACGGTTTTCCCAGGCCACCAAATGGCGACGCTGCATATGCTGCCGCAACGCTGTAGTCCCAACATGGGCCCCCTGGCCACGCTTGACTTTCTGGCCACATAGTCGACATACGGCTACGTTTACTTCCTCGGGCGGCTTGACAAAAAATTGCCACACCGCCGAGTAGGAAACTTTGCCCCCGATACTCCTCACTGGCTGACTGCTGCTTCCTCCGTGCACACCGGCACCACTACTGGCCGTGGTGGTAGGCTGCAGTGGAGCTGGTGCTGTACTCCGTGGCCGTTTGCCTCCACTGACACTGCTGCGACCCTGCTGCCTCCTGGGCAACCCACCGACTGTTTTGCTCGCTGCCAAGCTGCACCCTCTTCTCCTGATGATGCGGAAGCAATAGCCTGATGACGACGAGGCTGCCAAGTGCGATCAGCCTCATCATCATCAATTAGGGTCTCCGCCTCACTACTAGCCCCCTCGGCTGCGTGTGGGTCAGGAGACAGACCTGTCTCTAGACCGGCTACCGAGCCACTCTCCTCGCCACTACTTCTTCGCCTGGCTGCTGAAGAGGCGGATGTCTCCCCCCGTTCCTGACCGCCCTCTGTTAGCTCTTCCTCACTGTACAGTGGGGCTGAGCCCACAGCATGCGATACTTCGCTTGGTGAGGGAACACCAAAGGACAGGGGGGGCAGGTAGAGGACACGTGATTTCAGTGGGCTTGCTCCCGGGCCATGCCAACTAACGGTTGTGTCTGACGTACCCACCGACCGTTGGCTGTAGGTGTCAGAGGTGACCTGGGAAGAGGAAGACGACCGAGCCAACCAATCGATGACGGCAGGGTTGTGTCGGTGGAGACACGACCGCTGGATGACACCGGGAGCACTGGCCTCTGGCTGCGAATAGTGCTGCCTCGACCCCCTTCCTCTGCTGCCACGTCTGCTCGCTCCTAAAACATTGCCTCCTCTGCCACTCCTCTGCATGTTGTCTGACATACTCTTTAAATTAAACGATTCTGTGTCCCTGAGTAACAATTCTGTGTCTGTCCTGAGTAACAATTCTGTGTGTGTCCCTGAGTAACGTTTCTGTGGCCCTAAGTAACAGTTCTGTGGCCCTCAGTAACAATTCTGTGTCCCTGTGTCCCTCAGTAACAATTCTGTGTCCCCTGAGTAACAATTCTGTGTCCCTGAGTAACAATTCTGTGTCCCTGAGTAACAATTCTGTGTCCCTGAGTAACAATTCTGTGTCCCTCAGTAACAATTCTGTGTCCCTCAGTAACAAATTCTGTGTCCCTCAGTAACAATTCTGTGTCCCCTGAGTAACAATTCTGTGTTCTGTCCTCTGAGTGTTCTGTCCCTGAGTAACAATTCTGTGTCCCTGAGTAACAATTCTCTGTCCCTAAGTAACAATTCTGTGTCCCTCAGTAACAATTCTGTGTCCCTCAGTAACAATTCTGTGTCCCCTCAGTAACAATTCTGTGTCCCCCTGAGTAACAATTCTGTGTCCCTGAGTAACAATTCTGTGTCCCTCAGTAACAATTCTGTGTCTGTCCCTCAGTAACAATTCTGTGTCCCTGAGTAACAATTCTGTGTCCCTCAGTAACAATTCTGTGTCCCTCAGTAACAATTCTGTGTCCCTCAGTAACAATTCTGTGTCCCTCAGTAACAATTCTGTGTCCCTGAGTAACAATTCTGTGTCCCCTGAGTAACAATTCTGTGTCCCTCCCTGAGTAACAATTCTGTGGCCCTAAGTAACGTTTCTGTGGCCCTAAGTAACGTTTCTGTGTCCCTCAGTAACAATTCTGTGTCCCTCAGTAACAATTCTGTGTCTGTCCCTGAGTAACAATTCTGTGTCCCTAAGTAACGTTTCTGTGGCCCTAAGTAACAATTTTCTGTGGCCCTAAGTAACAATTCTGTGTCCCTAAGTAACAATTTCTGTGCCCTAAGTAACGTTTCTGTGTCCCTAAGTAACGTTTCTGTGGCCCTAAGTAACAATTCTGTGGCCCTCAGTAACAATTCTGTGGCCCTCAGTAACAATTCTGTGTCC